GGGTGTTTATCAGCCAAATTATCGGCTGCATCAGGCAGATAACCTATACAGCCAGCTTTCTTTATACCGGTACTGATCTGATATTGGACCGATGTATCGGTGCACCTCTAGTTTTTTATTTTTCCTCCTGAAGTGTAGCACCTTGCATTTGTCCACATTGAACTTCATCCTGTTAGCTCCAGCCCAGCTTTCCAATCTGCCAAGATCCTTTGAATTGTGCTCACATCCTCCATGTTCACACTCCTTCCCAGTTTCATGTTAACAAACTTGCTCAAGAAGCTTTCTATGCCAGCACCTAAATTGTTAAGAAACACATTGAACAGCACCAGGCCCAGAACAGACCCCCGTGGCACTCCGCTTGAAACTTCTTGCTGTTTTGACAAGGCCCTTTGCTTGCAACTGTCAAACCAGTTATGTATCTACCTTTTTGTAGTTTTATCTAGCCCACATTTCTCCAATTTATGAGATGGTCATATGGGACTTTGTCAAAAGTCATACTGAAGTCTGGATACACTATATTCACAGCATTTCCCTATCCACCCAAGTAGTTACTTTGTCAAAGGTCAGGCTTGTTACAAGAACTTAAACTGAACTGGGAGGAAATATTTGGGTTAGTGTCTAACAAAACACCAGTCCTCCAGTAAATCCTCATTGCAGGACTTACTCAGCCATTAAGGAACCTCAGAGGTGTTAATGGCCAGTTCATATGCAGAATAAGAACAAAAGGTTGGAATCAGCATTTAGACATTGGTTATGTCAGATGTGGAGCAGCAGATGGGATTGAAGGATTGTAAAAAAATATCACCTTAAGCACTCACAGTGACTTACACTACTGCAATAGATTGCTGTTTGGAAGGTCAACACATCACATTTTCCAGGTAGAGATGATCAGAGCAATTTGAAAAGACCCCAGGACCTTAGAATGCAATCAAACTCTGAGAACAGGCCTGAAACAACTCTTGCAAAAGGAGACACCTCTTTCCACTCTTGTGGGGAAAAGACAGATTTCCAGGAGTTTCAAAAGCTGCTCAGGTCCTTGGAACTCCATGTTGCTTTTGACCCAAACTAAGCATTGTATTGTAACATTTCATTGTGAGAACAGAGGGAGTGTCTGAGAACAACCTAACAGGACATATCTCCCAGTCACCACTGCCTGATGCGTAGGGTTATTCCCAGTTAGAAAAAATGCCTAGCTCTTATAGTCAAACTCCATCCTTGCTGCAATGGGGAGTTACCATTTTGATAGATCATAAACACTTAAGTGAAAAGTGAATAGGCTGGGGTGGCTGTGGTAGTAGCCCAGCTACAGCTGTGGGCATGGATCACTAGGCCTGTGCGAAGTGGCTAGTATTTGCTTCGGATTCAGCAGAGAGTGATTCAATTCAGTGATTTGAATCATTGTCCCGAATCGATTTGGCTGAATCTGATTTGGAGATTCGGCTCCTGCCGAATCTCTGAATCTCCAAATCACCCAGGCTCATCCCCTGCCTGCTCTCCCAGCCCTGGCAATGGCTGCTCCACCTGCCCCAGCTCCCGGCACGTGGGAAAAAAAAGCCTCAACTCACTGGGTGCTGCTGGGCGGGGGGCAAGCCCTGCTGCCCCCCACTGCCCCATGCTGTGTGGGGGGCTCTGCATGAGCCCTCTGACCCCTCCCCCCCCCGCTGTCCCAACCCCCCCACGGCTGTCCTGCTCGTCCTGGCTCTGGCCCTTTAAGAAAAAAAACGAGAAAAACCCCCGGACTCACCGTTCCTGTCAGATGGCGGGGGGCCCCCCC